GGGGGGGGGGGGGTTACCTTGATTGAACAGAACCAACACGCTCAAGGTGGATACTGCCCTCGCTACTTCCTCTGTACGGTTCCTTGAGAACATTACATGTGTCTGTGGTGTGAGTAGAGAGTATGGTAGGAGGAGACCGTGTGTCCGCAGATTGCTGCTTTTGCTGTCCGTCCGCCTGCAATACAGCAAATCCCAGGTCAATGCCCAGGTCTACTGTACGATGGCGTCCACCAAGTATCACAGCAGCGACTACCAGTTTACTAAAAATACTGAGAGAACCAACAAAAGAGACTGCAGATCCTGACAGTGAGAGAGACAGACCACAACCTGAGAACGCGCTAATAACCTCGAACAATGAACGCGTCATTATGTCAAAGGGTGTGTCATTCAACTCGACAACCAGCCAATTTTCTTCTGCAAATATAATACTTAACATTGCAGAGAATAACCAAAAAAGTCTAGATGTTAAAAGTCGTACCACTGAAGTACGGAACATTTGTTTCCATTTTCGGTATGTGCGATCTGTAGAAATGGGAAGAGCAGGTAAAAACATACAGAGAATTGTTATTGCAATATGGGCGTTACTATACTTCAAACATGGTACAAATGAGGCAGCAGCAAAACGCACAACAGCAGCTTGACACAAAGAAAGAAAAATCTTGTACGGTGTAGAAAATGGAGCCAAAAGACCATTCCCACTCCACTGTTGTAACCAGAAAGGAAGGGCCTGTACTAAAGTGATAAAAAACCAAGCAACACCCAGATACACTGTCTCGCTTCGTATGAACAAGAACGCATGGAAGGAGACCGGCTGTTTACTTGCTAGGATGTCACGAAAACCTCTATCCCATACGTTGAGGTTCACCACATCACCTTTCATATCGCTATCACGAAAGATATTTTCAACTTGGTGAATCGGTGCATTAGCAAGGAGAGGTGAATCCTCACTAATTAGGAGAAATACAGAGTTCTGGTGATTCCGTATTTGTGGCCGTCGAAATCGTATATATAATTTTCTTAAGAGGTGAAACATGAACCATTCTAAATGAAAAAATCCACGCAACACTACTGGGAATAAAGTGAATCCAAGCGCACACCCCATTGTCACAAGCAGCACCACAGCAGGATCCTTGGCGTACTGTTCCATAGATAAAAAGATAGAGCTATGAAAGGAAGCAATTATCATCTCAAAAACCTCTAAAGGACTCAGATGAGATTGGTTAAATATAGCAAGAAAAAACATTAGTGTAGCATTCACTAAAAAAAAATAGAACAGTGGAGTAAAAGCGCATATCAGGGAGGTGTACCAAAGTCGCTCGGCGTACATCCGCTTTGAGGCCCGTAGTGCCCTTTGACCAATAGAGTCGTTTGGGTCTCTGTCGAAAACCCTCCAAATTTTACTCAGCATCCAAAGACGTAACAATGGTTGGTGGGCACTCGTAAACACAATGCCCCCACCAATCATAAGAAAATGTCGCAGTAAATTTGATCCCAATTTCCAACCTGCAACATCAACTGTCTGCAGTCCACAACAACATACTGATGACATGGCAATAAAAAATGCGTCAACATAGTCTAGATCTTTTTCCATCAAATATAACAAAAGTGAACCACAAAGCGCTAATAATAATATATATGCTACATGGGTAAGTAGGTACCACTTCTTTAGAAAGTTAAGACGCTTCGCCAGAGAATCCTGTTCTGGTGTAAGAGGAAGTATGATGGGGCTTACAGACTCAAAGAGCTGAGAGCTGCGAGTACCACCAGTATCATTAAAGTCAATGGTATTTGACTCTTCGTTGTCCAAGTAGTTGTCACGTTCCACAAAATTATCCTGCAAAACACGGGATGAATATCCTGAAGACCCCTCATGCGCTGCATACATGTCATCTTCTTCCTCCACTTCCCCCAAAAGAGTGTTCACAACCTCTCTTCCATTTGAATCTGGAAATGAAAAGCGAACTCTTCTATCCATACCATTCATGCAAGATTACTGTATCATGTAGTTCAAAGAAGAAGAAAAAGAAAGAAAAAAGAAAATGATTGATAAAACAAAAGAAAAAAAAGGCCCTGTGGAAAAGAACTCCAATATATATTCCTGATATCTCGAACGTAAAAAATGTGTCCTCATATTTGGTTTCACGCATAGCCACGTGAAGTAGAAAAAAAGCAAAAACAGGAACACAAAAAAAAACATATAGAAACACACCTACATACATTCATGCACACAGAGAGAGGCAGTAAACCCAAATGTACATTTATCAGACTTCGCCAAAAAACAAAAGAACTACACCTGCCCAAGAAATCCCTCATACACGCTGCACAGTGAGGGAACATAGTAGTGGTCCCCATTCACCAACTTCTTAAGCTGAGTTCCACGAGCAGCCTTGAGCTGATTTGTCTTGTCGAATACACGCGGAACCAAGAATGGCAGATTCAAAGCTCGTCGTTGATCGTAATGTGTCATCGCCATTTCAGTCGCCTTGTGTTGAAGATTTTTCTCCACGGTACGTATCTTTGCATCTTCATGCATGCTATTCAGCTGCTGCGCTATGAGTACCTTCCTGTAGGAGGAAAGATCCCTTCGATTGAGTTCGCGCTGTTTAGCGAGCAGTTTATTCTCAACTATCTGTCGCTTGCGTTCTTCTGCAGCTTCCCGTTCACTTTGCTCAAGAAGATTGAACATCGCATGGGCCTCTGCGGCTTCTTCGTAATGGCCTGTACTCATTAAAATCCTCTCTGTGGAGCGCAAACTTGTGAGTCGTGTGGAGAGTGTCATGGGTTGCCGCGCCACCTGCGATTCCACCCGCACTGTGTACGCCGCCAACTCCTCCTCGTGCGCTTTGCTCGCCTCGTCGTACTTGCGGTGAAGGCCCTCCCGGCGGCGGAGTTCCGCGAGGGCGGCGGCAAGTCGCGCCTGTTCCCGGCGACGGTCCCGTGCGGCGCGAAAAGCGGCCCACTCGACGTCCTGTCGCTCCTCCATCCCCGAGGCGGACATCCCCACTGACAGTACACAGCTGCGGGGATCCAGCAGGGCAGACAATAAAGGGAGAAAGCAAAAAAGAAAAAAGAAAGAAGAAAGGGGAAACAATAAGAATATAAATATGAAGAAAATATAAGTATTTTTTTTTTTTCTTACTCCGTTAAGGAAAACAAAAACAACAACAAGAACAACAACACATAAACCTCTAATATTAACGAAAAACTATCCTACCCTGACAATATTTGAGAGCTCGCACCACTTGGAATCCCTACCACGGTTGGCAGGGCAGCGAACCACGACATCACCTACTGCCCCAGATGTGGTTCCCATAACAACTATAAATATATATATATATATAAAACATCCTTGCTACCAACACAATTACCCCTTTTCGAACTCCTCAACACTACTATCCCTAAATCCTAATACTCAACTTCCTGACCAGCGAAAAATCCCCATTTCTCCTCCCATTCATCGCACACCATCATAACGTACGGCCCAAAGTAAGCAACGTTGTCAATGGGGTGAACCCATCGACTCTTTGGCTCATAAATGTACTTGTCACGGAGCACACGAGCACGCATAACACGACGATCGCCGTGCACAATCTTATCCTGAGGCGCACGGGTACGAGCGGCACGGTTCCACCAACCATGGGCGTTGATGAGATCATCCTGGAGGCAACCGTACTTGTGGTACTGTAGACCTTCATAAAAGCACATGATTTTGCTGGCGTACCACTTCCCGTATCCGCTAAGGTCTCGGGGATCTGTATGGATCACCTTCTCCCATGGGTACTCCATCTTATAAGGGTGGGCATGGTCAGTAACAGGTAACGCCAGTAAAGCTCGGTAATCAATCTTGTTAGCTTTAATGGCGCTCTGAATGCGCAAAGCACGCTCAACCTTGTGTGCATTCTGCACCGAAAGGAACTCCCGGTACATGTTTGGATAAAAGAAGTGACCCAAATAATAACGGAACCCTGCCCAGATACCCTGGGCCATGTGGCGCGGCGCCGTGGGTTTCATCATTCTTCACTTTCAATTTTCTAACAATCGTACACTAACCAAGGAGAAAGTGAAACAAAGACCAAAGGAAAAAAAAAATATATATATATATTTATATATGTAAACCGAATACACAACAAAAGAAATTTTTACCGATAAAAGGTCAGCAGAATTAGTAAGCAATACGACAAAAAGAAAGAAAGAAAGGCCCACAGAATCTTGTAGGTAACACTACTATCTCATCGTATTTACGCCCATTCCTACAAATTTTCCTTAAGGTACTTGTTGACCTTGTTCAACGCTTTGCGCGCGGTCTCACCACCTGATTCCGCAATAAATGGTGCAACATCATAGCATATGTTCGCTGGATTCGTCTCAAGTATGATCCCTTCGTCCACCAGTTCATCCACTGTTAGCACTACTGCATCATACTTTTCCAGTAGCATCCTCATGTTGAGATCCAGGACCTTTAACTCCTGTCTTAAGGCATCAACAAGGCCTCTGAGAACACTATGGAGTACTAGTTCGTTCTCGTTACCATCGCCAATTACCATAAATAGGACATCTTCAGATAATTGTAGGAGCACAGTGTGACCTTCGTGAATCATTATATCACCGTCTATTGACGTACTGCAACAGCGTTTAGGGTCACGGGAGGCGGTGTGAATTCCCATTTCCAACACTCGTTGTTTATCTATTGTGTTTAACACACCACGCTCCTGCATATCGGGAGTAATATAATACTTAGCGAAAACGCGGCCACCCAGCTCATTGAGGATAACAATCCCCTGGACGTGGTGCATAAAATCCATTATGAATCCTTTTTTTCTTTTTTGTCTTTCCTTTTATTCTTCGCTTGCGCAGATGTGGCGCAGACCTTACCTGCATATTACAGGGTCAAGTAAAAGAAGAAAGTAAGGTGCAAAAATAATAATAATAATAATAATAATAATAATAATAATAATAATAATAATAATAATAATAATAATAACACACATGTGTTCATTTGTGGAGAAATATCCAAGATATTCTTCCTTCTTCTTTCTGATATATGTTTACCTTTTCTTCTTTTTTTTTGTTGTTGTTTCTAGCTTTTCTTAAAAGAAAAAATATAAAACCAAAACTTCTCAAATTGATACTCTTTCTAATCATCATTGACGCGCCGTCTTGGGCAAATGAGAAGCCAAGCGATAGATAGACAGGCGATGACAAGCAGGGGATACTGCAAATACATCACAACATACTTTATACCCTGCATATTTGCTACATAAACCGTAAACATTGCACTAATATTTGTATTGGCAGCGTATTCTGCGAAGCTAACAGTACAAAATTGCACGACACTCATGGAAGTAATCATGATTAGCATAGCATTAAAAAGAAAAGCGTTCATAAATGTACCATTAGGTTCCATCGGGTAAATCTGAAACAGTACCAAATTGCCTCCAATTTTAATGCAACCTTTCACGACACACCAGAGTAAATAGAAAGAAAAACATCCGTACGCTAAAACGCCAAAAAACATAAATGCTTTGTCTAACCCACGAAACATATTATTGAGAAACGGATGAGCATGAGCCATGTTATGAATTATCATCTGCAATAACCACATAAATGACATTGATGCAAACACTATACCCAAGAAAAGGTAAAGGTATCCTTTTATCACCTCTCCGCCCTTTTCACGATAGGAAGTCTCAACCTTACTATGGTACGATTCCAACTCGCGTACCTGCTGTTTAAATGCAAGCACCTTCTCACGATGTCTCCTACCCAAATGACCAATGTGCTCTTCTTCTTCGATTTTTTTCCCATTTTCCATGAGACGTTGCGATTCTTGTGCAATTTCAGCTCTACGAAGGGCATACTCGGCGGCAGTAATAGGTTTCGGACGGTTGTAGAAAAACATGATATAATCAATCGGCATCGCCGCTAAGCCTACACCTCCAAAAAGAAAAAACAGTATCCACCCAATTACACATGTAAGGGCGACAAAGTATGTAAACAATGACACTCTAAATCTAAGGGTCGCATTACGTGAGGTAACACTAAATTCAGTTACCGTACTAAAACTGCTGGCCGGATTGCCTAATACTTGATATTCGGCATAGGCAATGCTCGCATACCCCGATGTTCCCCAGCAAAGGAAAAAAAGAATAACAAAAACTACTACAATTATAGTCGTCACGATGACTGACCACTTTACTTGCTGCCAAAAGGTCCTGTGCTCAGGTTCCATGGATTCGTAGTACACCATCGCAAATGGACACGCTAAAAAGCATAAAATAAACATAACAGTAAGAATGATTATCCACATGAGAGTTACATCGATATCCCCACCTGGCTTATATGGGTTGTTTCGTACGTTTGCCACATCGTACGGTAGCAAAAGGACATTATAGCAGGAAAAAGAGAGAGAGAGAACGACAACAATCTTGGGAAGCCACGTATCGTTTTTCTCATCTTCCACCTCAAATAATACTACCAGATAGAAGATCAATGCAATGATTAGCACAGCAACAATGACAGCTAGAACAATCAACCACCAGCTCATTTATCTAGTTTTGACTAAGATACTAATAAAATGAATCACTCAACGCTAAGAAAAGAAAAAAGAAAGAAGAAGAAGAAGAAGGGGGGCAGTACAGAGTTACTATTGCTGTTGTCGTTCTTGTTGTTATTATCATTATGATTATTGTTGTTTTTGGCCTTGATATTTTATATCAATGTATCCCTCAATAATTTTAAAACATAAATTATGGGTGGCGCACAAGCCTATAGATAAATTACACAGTTACAAAGAAGCAACACCGCGAAAAACACCAACAAGGAAGAAAAAAAAAGAAAACGATTCACCTTGCAAAGTACATCCGACTAGAGACGTCGCGTACTATCCACTCCATTCCTTCCAACAAACCAGCACCGGTCTTTGCGCTACAGGCACACAAATGAACGTGCCGTTTACCCTTCCTGATGGTATCTATGTCTAATTGACGCTCAATATCTGCAGGAGAAAGAGACTCTGGTAAGTCCTGTTTATTTAAAAAGACCAAAAGACTGGCACCGGCCAACCTTTCCTCTTGAAGAAGTATGTGAAGTTCTCGCCTGCAGTCCTCCAAGCGGGCAATGTCGTTACTATCAACAACCCAGATGAGTCCATCAGTGCTCTCAAAATAATTTCGCCAGTAACTGCGCAACGATTGCTGTCCTCCAACATCCCATATGTTTAGTGTACAACCGTGAAGAGAAAATGCGGTGATTTGAAATCCCAATGTGGGACTTATAGAGCTTGTATCTTTCCCACAAAACTTCTTGACACACGTCGTCTTCCCAGCGTTGTCTAGGCCAAGCATTAGGATCCGCATCTCACGTTCCTTCCGTTTGGTTTTACGAATAATAGATAAAAGCCCCATTTCCACTCAACTACACTACAATCAAATAAAAAAAAAGCGAAAAAAAAGTAAAAAAAAAAAAAGTAAAAAAGAAAAAAAGTAAAAAAGAAAAAAAGAAAAACAAATTAAAGAGAGAAAGAGCCAATTGGTGTGGTAACTCACATATGAAAACGTAAAGAGAGCCAAGAGAGGCTAATGGAAACAATATGAACCGTCCTACAACATTTTTATCATCAACCTGCAACAAATGTTTCCCTGTATCCTATCAAGCTAATCCTACTATTCCTAGTGTAGAAGTCTCACCACCATGCGGCAAGACGAATACGTTCATCATACCACTCCACATTTTTGTGCAACGTGTGCATGAAAGCAAAAATAGGAAGCATCGCAAGCACGTAGAACTGAAGCATATTGTACACCCACGTTCCCCAGCGTGTACCGAGGGAGAAATACGTGCGTACTACCATGTAGTCCGTGTATCGCTGCTCAACACCTGCGAGATCCCAATTCTTGTTGAATTCACGCTTATGATATTTGGACTCCACCGATTCATACTCGAGGCGTCGCTTCTGCTCGGTACGACCCCACCCGTACAACATGGGACCCGGACGCGCGGGACCCTTGTTTTGCATCTGCCTCCGAATGAGTGATCGGCGTAACATGACTGGATTCTATAGCAGTTTTGAAAGAAAGAAAGAAAAAAAAAAAAAAAGAAAAATGACAGGTACAATAATAAAAATATTGTAGAGAAAAACAGAAAAACCAGGGTTGTACGCACGTATACTGCTTCGTGAAGGAACAAACATTATCAAATATATATATATATATATTCTTTTCCGGAACGAAAACATCAAGACAAACCCTACATTTAAGCGTACATACTTGACTCATGAAAAACGACGCAAAGGCATATGATGATGATGATGATGACGACTTCTACCCATTTCTTGTCCTGGAAGGGCACCTCCAAAATACAAAAACAATGCAAACGTAAAACCAAACGGTACAGATGCTTTAAAAGTAGTTGATAAAACACCATTCAAGAAAAATGGTACTCCCTCTGTTCGAAGCATATTTTTCATCACACCTCCTGCTTCCCTAAAGACGGCAACTTCTCCTGACAAGAAAGTTGACAAATTGTGCACGCCACCTGAACGTTCTCTGCTGTGCAAAGCTGATCGGAATGTATTCCGTAATGGAGTTGTGACGAACGTCAAAAAGGCATGAACACGAAAAGAATCCCACCACGCCCCAAAGAATCCACTATGGCTCGATCGTTGCAGCGCGACCAAAGCAGCTCCATGCCACACAGACGAAATAATAACAGTAGCAGTAACTCCAGAGAAAAATGAAAGAATTCCGTACTGTCTAGTACTGTGTTGCAAACATTGAATAAGTGATCTATATTCCATTTTGTCGTAACGGCTGCGCGAGCTACCAAGACGACGGGCTGTAGTTCGGACTCCTACTTTGGCCATCCCATGAAGCGTGCCACCACATATCGCACCTGTAGCCGAGCCTGAACCAAGAACAAAACCACCATAAAGAAGACCCCATGGCAGCGCCAGCAAGAGTGGTTGAGATGGATTTAGGATCATGCCTTTATATCGTACCATTGAGTACTCAATAGGGTTTACGCGAGGAATGGACTTAATATTAAAGATCTTTGTGTAATCTCGATATGGATATAAGAGAAATATTGAGACAAGGCTTGCGGTGTACCCTAACCCTGCTGCCCCAAGAACGCTAACCATTATTTGGTATGTACTATTGTTTAAATTTAATATTCTCTTTTCATTTCGGTTTCAGAAAGGAAAAAAAAAAAAAAAATAGATGCGGCTCTTGAGAAATCACAATTATGGCATCGCAATATCAGATAAGGAAAGGAACAAAAAAACAATGACATATCGATCTATCTTTATACTCTTTTATCTGTTTATTCATTCATTCTATCAAGAGATTTCTATTCTACAACGGTTCTCCCTCTCTTTCTCTCTCTCTCTTTCTCTCTCTCTCTCTCTCTCTCTCTCTATATATATATATATATATATATATTTCATTATCCGTGTGATCTGTCTTTTCTTTGTTAGGTAAAAATTGAAGTTGATTTAGGGTATTCGGTTTCAGGACGATGCAGTGCTAACCTCCCAGGAACAGTGAGTTGATCCGCGTTGTGCATCTCCCATTGTTCTATTTCTACTAATACGAAGGGGTTTTCACATGAGGTGAGTTTTTTCTTAAGTTGAAGATTATTTTGCAAAAATTGCTCCTGGGATATCCAGACGCCACGATTAGGTAAGTTTTGCACAAAAGGATTTTTAGTGACAAAACCAGAAAAAGCGTTCATTCCTCGTGGCACTCCTTTCCCAAATACACGCCTGTTAGACTCTGTCGATTGCCGTAACGAGTGGTGTAGAAGATCTTCGGGGAAGGGTTCCACATCCTCCACACTTATAACAGCTGCTGTAAGAGTTAAACAAATAGCCTCACTACCTTCCTTAAGCTGAAGAAAATTTCCCAACGCCCTATGATCACTTCTAATCCAGAAAAGTGACTTGAATCCCATATCTTTGGCAGCAGCTTGAAGATTATCAACAACCTCTTCTCTGGAAAAAAACAACCCTGTTAACCCACAACGTGGGGTATAACTATCACTTTGTAACTCGCCAACTTTTTTTATCATAGATACATGATAAAAAGCACGTTTCACAAGGTTCTCATCATTCTCTGAAGGATCTATGAAGTGTTTTGGAAGTGGTAAAGTAAACTCTGGAGCACCTTTAATGAGGGCACTTTCCTTACAATCATCAACCACTCTGCTGGAAAAGAACTCTTCTCGAATGGGTTTCTTTGTGAACTGTTGAAATGTTACAGTATTATGTACTTTCAGTTGATCCAATAATACCTGTGCATTATGAGCTTGAAAAGGAAGTCCCATCGCAGTAACATTGCATAATAGTTGCAATTGGCGAAGTGCGCCAAGCTGTGCTGCAGGAGGAGACTTCCGTCGATAGGCCATATCGAGAGAAAACACAATTCCTTCTCCCTCATCATTGTCAAAAAGACCAAAAAAAAAGCAAAGGAAATGTGAGTCAAAAGGGAACTATGCACAAACATCATCAAAAAAAAACACGGTATTACATGTAATTTAAGGAAGAGAATGTCTCAAACGCCACGAAATAGATCAGAGAAATATATCTACGCTCTATGTGCCTTCAATAGGCGTTTTTAATCTATCCCGTACAAAAACAAGAAGAAAATAAAGAAAAAAAAAAAACATGGTGATATATCACAGCTTCTTTTCTAAACCCGAATGACAATCATCTAGCAATGACGAAATGACCTTTTCAAGATCCTTCAGTTTCTCAAGTTGAGACTGTTCCGCATCCAATGAACATTCTCCAGAAAGCAAACGAACATTATCTAGGATAAGCCTATAATCGCGCTGTAGCGAGTCTCTAAAGGCATTAATTCGTTCCTTTTCCTCTAATAAAAGTTTCTGTTCACGTTGGTGACGCGAATTGACTTCTTTTTCCTTTAGTTCTAATAAATATTTTTTTGATGACATCTCTTCTTCATTTAGACGAATTCGTTCAATAGCCTTGCCTTCATAAATCGAGACATGTGATACACGCGAAGAAATAAGATAAGCAACTGCTTCCATTTCCTTTCTCATGATACGCATTCGTGTGGATGACTCTTCCCTTTCTAGATCAAAACATCTCATTTCATAATTGTACAATGACTCAAGGTCGTGTTTACGACGTTTCGCAGCATCAGTAAACACTTTTACCTTCTCAAGGTATTCTTCTGATTCTTCGCGTGCTCGTTGCATACGAAGTCTTTCAGCTTCTGCGTGCTTCTGTGCCGGTATTATACTAGCTTCAATGGACGCCTGATATACTTGTAACTGTTGTTGGCGATGTAAAAATGCTTCCTCTTGTTGTTTTAGGCTTTGTAATCGACATTCACATTCTTCAGATTTTGTTGCAAGAAGTCGTGCTTGCTCATCAATATTGTTAATTCTTTCTTGAATGAACTTATCTTTCTCAATAAGCTCCGAAGCATGGCGTCTTTCAGCTTGCTCAAATTGTGCCTTAAGGACGCCATATTTTGACTGTTCAGTCTTCAATTCTTCAGAAACCGTGAAAAGACTCTGTCGAAGACGTTTTATTTCCAGTTCAGCTTCATGAAGTCGTTCTTTCAAAGCTTTTTTGGACTGTTGCCGATGTTGAAAATGATTTTGGAGGAGAGCTTCTAATTCAACACTCTTTTTTATATAGAGGTCATTGTCTCTATTTCCGACATCCATGATGTCTCCAAGTCATTCAGATTTAAAGAAATTAAAAAGAAAAAAAAAAAAAAAGCGAGGCAATAATATCCATTTTGATACCAAAAAAAAGGGAGGGGACACATCACAAGAGAAAGAAAACAACTAGAAAGAAAAAGAAATTGAAAGGTAATAACTTTCTTCTAACAAGGAGGCGCATATACTCTAAAACATAGAAAAAAAAAAAACTAGGATCTAAGTCTCTTAAGAATAAAAACTACAATACCACCCAACCGGGGGGGGGGAAACATCACTGATAAAGCCAATATACCTAATTGGGTTAAGATTCTATTCATTTGCCTTCGTATCAGAGCCCAGGACAAGACGCTTCTTAGGTCGACGAATAGGGCCTTCCATCAAATTCAGGCGTTCTACAAAAACTGGACGTTCCAATTGTTCTCCGGTATTTTCAGGTAACTTTATAATTCCTCGTTTTAGGACAACATTTTGGTGTCGAAGCTGTTGAAGTTCCACTTCTTGTTGGGAGCAGAGATTAGATAATCTGTGTATCTCATCGGTAACTCTTCCTGAATTCTCTTTCTTAACTCCCTTAAGTATATCATGGATGCGATTATATTTTTGTACCACGGTATCTCGTTCCTGCATCAAAGACTCACGGTTCTCTAACAGTTTTTGTATAGTTTCTGCATCTTTGCAGCATCGCTGTTTGGCCTCTTCCAAAGCGACCCTTGCCCTTTGATAGGCTTCTCGTAAGTTGCCCAAATTGTTCTCAGATTCCTGCAAAGACTCTGAAAGATTAGCAACACGTTGATCAGCCTTTTCACATTTCTCTATAAAGCTGTTTAATTTTATTTTCATTGCCTCTATCTCTTGACGTGCAGATGTACTTATAATATGAATTTTGGTTTCCTGGGTTTTTAACTGTTCCTTTAAGATAGTACTTTGGTTATCTGAATTCGCATACTCCTTTTGCATCTGCAAAAGAGTTGATTCTAATTTTTTGTTTTGCTCAGTAAGCATTCTATCACGCTGCAATTTTTTTTTGTTTTCCTCCTTCAGGTCTTGTAGTTCTCCCTCTGTAAGTATTAGGGTTTTTGTCATTGCTTCGTTTTCGGAGGCAAGAATTCTGCATCGCTCATCTAATGAATCGATCCTCTCCTGAGAGCGCTGTAATAAGTCCTCATACCTGCGAATTTCAGAAATCAGTCTCTCTTGTTCCAACTTCTGTTTTTCGCTTTCTTCTCTCATTTCATTAAGACTAGAGTTTAATAACCCATCCAATTCTCCCAGTTCTATCCGCATACTTTCCACCTGCTCTTTAAGCCAATTATTGTCATTGAGAACCTCTTCATATTTTTTTCTTGAAGTATTCAATTCTGAAGTTAATTGCTCCACCTTTGACTCCAACAATGTCAGATGACTTTTCTCAGAAGCAAACTCCTTTTTCGTATTTTCTAGCTCTTCTCGAAGTTCATCATTTTCTGTTTGCCTTTTATTCATACTTTCCTCTAGCAAATTAATATCTTTCATTGCAGCAAGGAGTTGCGCATGAATTCCAGATGACCAAGACAAAACTTTACTGTTGCGATCAAGCACCAAAGACAACCATTCTTCATAAAACATCACCTCTAACATCAATCGTTCTTCATATTCTAAATGAAAAATAATATCATGTCTTGTAGAGGCCATATTTTCACATAATAATGCATTTTCAGTTAAAACCTCCTGTAAACGGGTCTCATAATCATTTCTTATTATGGTTTTCTCATCCGTCAATAAAGATATCTTCGCATTTAATTCATGCAGTCGTTTCTGTTCATTTACTCTGACATCGTTATATTCAAGAAGTAAGGAAGAATAGCACTCCTTCACTGCTCTAAACTCTGTCTCCAACTCTTCCTTAGTAGATTCAAGTACACGACAACGTGCAACAGACTTATCAAATTCTTCTTGTATCGTTTCAAGGATACGGTTTTGATTTACCTGTGAATCTTGAAGTTCTGCTACATCATTTTCTAATAAACGCACTTGATCGCGAAGCTCTTGAATTGTCGTATTATACTCAATTTGACTTGAAGAAAACTCGGCACTTGCCTCGCGAAGTTGTGTCTCAAGTGAATCTTTTTCTTCTTGTAGAAGAATATTGTTTTGTTGAAGATCTTCTGCCTTTTTTTCCAATTCCAGTAAACATATCTTGTTTTTTTCTCCTTGAGAGGAAATGTACTCAAGAAAAAATGATTGCCATTCAAAAACAATTCTATTTCGACTGCAAGACTCTTCTTCAAAAAATACAATCAAAGAATTGCATCTATACAACGATTTTTGAGAGCTCATTAATTCTTCTTCAAGACGTTTAGAAAGATCTCTTGCCTCATAATACAGTAATTCTAATTTTCCTTTTTCTTCCCGAAGTTCCGCATTCACTTCAATCAACCGTGATTTCTCTTTAGTTAGGGTTTTGATGTCCTCAATACTTTGCTTCATCTCCAAATCCATTTTGCTTACAAGGTCTTCGTACTGAATTATTCGTTGCGAAGCAGAACAAAAATCTCTCTCAGCCGCAGATACCTTCTCAGTAAGGTTTTCATTAGCCATTTTTAAGATATGTAATTCCTCCTCATGTAAAGAATCTACAGCCTCTGCGTCCTTTAAACGCTGCCGAAGATCATCATTGACTTTCTCCGAATGCTTCAACTCATCTCGTAGTTTTTCAACTTCGGAAACAGACTTATCTAGTTCTGAGCTAAGTTCGTTGGCCTTAGTAGCCCATTGAGCAACCACCACATGTGCTTCTTTTTGCAACGCATCTATGTCACACTCAAGGACTTCCTTGTTTCGTATTGTTTCACTAAGATGGTGTTTGCATAATTTAAGTTCTTCTTCTAACTGGGAAATTCGTTCCCTCATTGCTTCATTAATGCGTTCTTCCTTTGAGACCATAGGATGAGGGCTTCCTTTAAGATCAACGAGAAAAAAAAAAGGAACTATGGAGAAAAGATAGAAAAAAAAAAAGAGATATCAACACCGAATATAGAGTTTTATGAGATCATGGGATCTCTTTCTACGAGGAGAAAAAAAAATAGAAAACGATATATTAAATCATTTATCCTAAAATTCCAATTCAGATTAGATATATTTATCATCTATAAACCGGTAAAAGAATTAAACACATTATTGCATTCCCTAATAACCGCGGTTGTTTAAAACTCACCAAGTCATGGACCTTGAGGTTGCCCTCCTGTAGAACCTCACCTCGCCAGGGCGGCATTGAGATACCGGAAGAAAAGAAAAAAAAAAAGAAAACAGCCACCACTTTCCAACCAGCCATCCCAAGGTAAAAACACAAGAAACTCCCTTGTCCGTAAACTCAACCGCCCCCACCCCAGCGTGGCTCCCCAACTCGTGCTGCTGCGCTTCCCTGCCCCCCAAAATTTTGAGAAAAAGCATCCCATAACCAGGCGACGGGGAGGGCAACAACGTCAACAAGAAAAAAAAACCCGCGGGCTGCGGGACCCTGACCCCTTCCCCCAAAGAAGTTGATAAAAGCGGGGCCCGGCCCAGCGCCCGAGAACCCGAGAAAAACCATCAGGATAAAGTAAAACGGAGGCGGGCCAGTTGACGGAAGGAGGGCCGCCGGCTGATGCGGTGAATTTCCGGCGGGCCGCGCCCCGGCAGTGGTGTGCCAGCCGTTGGGCGGTGAAAGAATTCTGCTCGCGGTGTTTGGGGTTGTGCTGCCGGTTCTTTGCCTTTTTTTTTTTTTTTTATTCCGCTGTTGGGTCTGGTACCCCGGTGGGCGTCTATGGACTTGAGGTGTTTTTTTTTTTTTATTTTTAGTTGTCGCGTCGCGAAGTTGTGCCTGCAGACGGCGGCGCGGCGCAATGGAATAGGGGATGTCTTGTTTTTTTTTTTTTATTTCTTCTTTTTGTTCTTTTTCAGAGGTTTGGTGTTTATTCTGATTTTGGACAATTGAATTCTGGATGGGTTTGGTGGCTGTATTACCAACTTGCTTTTTGGCGCTTTTCCCATGATGAATATTAACTCAGCGAGTTTGGATTTTTGGCAATTAAACAAATGCTGTTAAATGCAAAGGAGGTGGCATTTTACCTCTCTTAGAGTGCATAATTACAAATATTTATTATTTTTATAATTTTTATTGTTCTTTTTTTTTATTTGGTGGGAGTGGGTAAACCGGATGTTTTTTTTTGTAAGCTTGCGATAAGAATGATCGAGTCTTACGGTAGTAGATGTTTTACTTGTATGGGTCAAAAGTATGGAAAATTTCTTTTCTTTTTATTCCTAACAGCCTGTCAAAAGTAAGTTTCTGAAAAGCCCACCCAACCCAACCCTCTCCGCCCCGAGCGGGAGGCGGGCTAAGAGGGGCTTCTCAGCACTTCCATTTCGTCAGTTCTCAGGTTGCATTAAAAATATAACGTTTTGGAAAATTTCAGATTTTATTTTTTAGATAAAAGAGAGGGTTCGAATTTTATATGGAATTTAAATACAGGGATTTCTTTTCTTTCTTGTTTTCTTTTATGGTAGGAGTAAGGCTGAGATTATTCTTTTTTTTTTCTATGAACCATGACAATGTTCTCCTATATGTTTTTTTTTTTCTTTTAAAATTGTCAAACTATATTATCACCATAAAAATAAAAATAAAAATAAAAAGTGATGTAAAAGTGGGGTGTGTTTGACATTACGTCCTCGCTTGTTTTTTTTTTTTTTTTCACACGAAGAGAATTACAAAATACTTGCTTCCCTCCTCAAATATTGAATAATTGTTATTACTCAGTTTGATACTTTTAATTCCTGTCCACGATAAAACAAATGTGTATTTGCTTTGGTTTATATTAGGACGTGTGCTAGTTTCTTTCTTAACTATTTTGTTTTCTCAGTTAAAAACTATAGGATTGCCTTGAGAATGTTAATATGACGCATGTCTTGTGAGGACTTTGTGTTTTTTTTTTTTTTTGTTTGCTCTCATCTTCCATTCATGTTTTTTTTTTCTTTTTTTTATTGTTTTAATCTTTGTTTTCTATCTCGGGGCTTGTTCTTTGCAGATGATTTGGTAATTATTATTATTATTATTATTATTATTATTATTATTATTATTATTATTATTATTATTATTATTATTATTTTGTACCTCAACGTGTTTTTCTTTTTTTTTTCTTGATGCACTTTTTTTTTATATTCTTTTTTTTTTTTCGTTTTTTGTTTCTCCATTTGTTGCAAATACTAAAGGGTATTTTCTTTTTATTAGGTAGTATTGAGATCGTAATATTTGCCAAGATTGGGTCTCTCGTTTTCTCAGTTGTATTCTTCTTTTTTGAATATTGTTCGTCAACATGGCAGCAGCACCTCGACAACGAATTCGTGGGGCGTCCTTTAAGCAAGAATACCAATCTGCGGCGACAAGAAGAACTCGTCAAAGAGCGCCCTCAATGAATCAAGAACTTAACTGTAAATGGGTTCTTCCTGCACAAGATCCTATGTATGAGGGTAAATTGACACTAGCTCTTGATCTTGATGAAACCCTGGTTTATGCTCGTGAGGGACCTCTTTATGCTCGGCCAGGGCTAGATGAGTTCTTCAAGACATGTAAAGAAAAATGTGTTGAAGTTGTTGTATGGACAGCCGGTCTCAAAGCATATGCACAAGCTATTATAAGAAATATTGATAAAGATCGAGTTGTCAGTCACTGCATTTACCGTCACAGTAAATGGTTTACCGGATATGCAGGATATCAAAAAGACCTAGCTGCCCTTGGAAGACCTCTTGACCGAGTACTTATTATTGAAAATACTCCTGATTGCATTCGAGGATACCAACAAAATGGTATTCTTGTAGAAGATTACGAAGGAGGTGAAAGTGCTGATAATACTATTCCTGCTCTTATAGACCTTATTCGAAACTTGTGTGATAGTTCAATGACTGTACCCCAATTTATTGCAACTTGCCCAATGCTTAAACGTGGTCCAATTCAAACTGATCTTGGAGACTACATTGACGTTTATCGATTGGATGTTGCTGTTTGGAAACCAGGTGAACATGTTCGTATAAATCGCGATTTAAGGGGTTTGAATTCGCGAACATCCCAATCAGTTAATGAAAACGACAGTAAGGTCCCAGGAACTGACGCCATTAACAAAAGGTGACGAGGCGGAACGAGTTGAAACAGTATGATGTTAAGAAAGGAAAACAACTGTCAGCGTTTTTTTTTTATTATTATTTTTACTATCCACAATATGTGTTGTTTGGATAGAAATGAGTAGTATTGTGGGTGACGCCTCGCGTTGGGGCTTTCTGCCTAATCTTCTTTATGATACGAAATCTTCGTCACGAAAAAAAAAAAAAAATTATAAAGGAAAAAAAAATGTTTAATGTATTTTACGCTACCTTTGTAGCAAAACTAGCAGCTTTATGTTTGTTTCTTTGTTGCTTTTTTTTGTGATGAATCAAAGAAAACTGCGGAAGGAGCAGGACTGATAATACCGACAGTATATATATGTCGGGGTATTGTGGTTTCACTATTAGTTTCGCTGAATGGCCAGAATATGTGAATGGCCCAATATCTTTATGTGAACAAAGGAAATGAGAAATGAGGGAAATACGAAATTTTGTGCCTGAATTAAGTGAATCAAAGGCACACAGGCCCGTTTTTTTTTTTTTTTTTTTT